TATAGACTCGGCTCGATGATTTCAAGCGGCCGAAAAATACTAGCTAGCGGAGCAGTAGGCGTGGAGACAGGAGTATCCATTAGAGTGACTCCCAGAACACGAGGCGGGATACTTCGAGGAGGAGCTTGAATGAACGCCTGGGCGAGAAACACGGGCCTTGAAATTACGAGGGCGCGTGCCCCCGAGGAAAGATTCGATGGGGGCAAGAAGCATAGATTGGATCTGTCCCGTGGGGATCTCCGCTACAGACTCTCGAGAGGTTTAGAGGCGGTAGAATCCCATACAGAATCAACTACGAGGGGCCTAGGAGTAAGAGGCCCTGGGTGGACCTTCATTTGCGTTTGGATGCCAAGGGACGAAGACCCCTCCAAAGGCAGGATGACACCGAAGATGAGCAAATCGTCTCTCCATTTGTTCGGGCTATCAAGGAGATCGAGATGCCGAAGAAGTTCACATCCCCCGTTTCAAGGTTTATGACAGGAGGATAGATCCTGAGGAACATCTACGACAGTATAAACAACTGATGTCCATATATGACACTGACCAAAGACTGCTGTGACGAGTGTTCCCCATGAGCTTGGGTGACACTGCCATGAAATGGCACGAAAGTTTGGCCCCTGAATGTATTAAGTCCTAGAGGCAGATGATCGAGCTATTTATTGCTCGATTTATTACCAACAGCAAAAGGCTGAAAGACATTGGCGCTCTGCTAACGCTCAAATGAAGGGGTGGAGAGGCCCTTTGGCAGTACACAATCAAGTATTGGGAGGAGGTGAATGAAGTTGAGGTGTGCTCGGTGGCCATGGCAGTAGCGACATTCCGGCTAGGGTTGTCCCAAGACACAGGTATGTATTGATCTTTGACTAAGCAGACACCGGTGGACATGAAGGACCTAATGTCTTGGATAAATAAGTATGCGTGGGTGGATGCGTGGGTGGAGGAGGAGTCGGCTATGCTCGAGCCTAAGGCTACTGCGTCGAGGAAACAGGACAAGGAATTGCCGTTAGGAGGGGAGCACCGGCTCTGACCCTAAGCCGCATGTCCTTCCAAGGGGTGAGCACTGTGGTCAAAGAACCTATTTACAAAATGCTCCACAAGATAAAGAAGTAGCCTTTTTTCAAGTGACCCCCTAAGATGCAAGGGGATCCATCCTCCAGAGATTCGACGTCTTGGTGTTCTTACCATTGGGACGTTGGGCATCTCACTGAGGGCTGTAGGGTGTACAAACCATTCCTAGAACAGTTGGTCCGAGAATGTCATCTCGGGGAATCCATTGATGGCGCGGTCCCAAGGGGCTCGACAAGGGAATGAGCAGGCATAACCTAAGAAGCGATGACCGTGATTGAAGTAATTCACGCTTGCACGGTGGAAAAACCAACTTATAATTCACTCCGAGATGATCTCTTGAGGGTTTCGCCAGCCGTGAAGGTGGAGGAAAACAAATGTGGGGGGGGGGGGAATCTAAAAGGCCTCGACTAGATGCCAAGACAATTCATTTTTCTAATGCCCACCTCGGTGGATTTGCCCTTCTACATGAAGACGCCCTAGTATTTATAGTGGAGCAAGCTATCAGAATGGGATTCAAAGCATCCAATAACGATGTTGAGTACGAGGCGCTATTGGCTGGGCTTGATATCGCGTACTCGGTCGGGGTAAGACACTTCCATAAAATTTGTGATTCCCAGTTGGTGGTAAATCAAATTAATGGGGACTTCGAAGGCTGGGACGACAGGATGAAAGCCTATCACTAGAGAGCAAAGTCAAGAATGAAGAAGTTCGAGAAAATAGGTGTCCCAAATTTCAAGACATCACAATAGATACGCCGATGCATCAGCTTGCCTTGCCTCGGCCTTGGCTTCAAAGGTAACTTGGCACATTATTGTTGACTACTTGGAGAGTCTGAGCATAAGGGGATTGAATGCCGAGGAGGTACTGCCGATGTGCACCCAGGATGTGTCTCTAAGTTGGAAAGACCCCATAATCAAGTATTTAATAGATGAGATACTCCCCAAGTATGTCAAGGAAGCTAGGAAGGTCAAATTGAAAGCTCCCAGATTCTGGATGTCCCTCGATCACAAGTTATTTATGAGATCCTTCTCGGGAACATATTTACTTTGTGTTCCTGAGGATAAGGTGGAATCTTTGTTGTACAAGGTGCATGAGGGTGTATGTGGAAGTCACACAAGAGGAAGATCCCTCGCACACCACGCAATGTCTCAAGGGTATTGGTGGCCATATATGTAGAAAGATGTCAAGAGGTATGATCAGAAATGTGATAAGTGCCAAAAATTTTGAGAACATAGGTGTGTAAACCCCCACGCTTTTATTTTAATATGTAGCAAGTAAATATATGAATTTTTTTTGTAATCGAACTTGTACCAACTATGTTTGATGTCCAAATGTATGTTGTATAAGTTTGGGTTGGTTTTGGAATGGATTGAAAATGAAAAACAAAGGAAATAGGCAAAATTGAATATACCGTACCGGTACTGCGTACCGGTATGCCAGGAAGTTACCGTACCGGTACACTATTGTCCAGAGAGTTTACCATATCGGTACTGTGTACCGGTACGCTCTGTAAGTTCCAAAAATTTTAAGTCGCAATCTAGGGTCCATTTTTTACCCTATAAATACATAATGACGCCCCCATTAGGCCCATTTCAACATTTCTAACCTTAGGAAACCTTAGAGAGGAAGAAAGAGAGGAAAAAATACAAGATCAAAGGGGATTTGCACATTGGATTGAATCAAAACCCTAGTTTTTTTTCAAGAACACCAAGGTAGGGGTTTTATTTTCATTCTTGTACATTGAGGCTAGGGCATTTATATGTATGTATGTTTTTATTTTCGATCCTAAGTATATGCTATGAAATCCCTATCTCTTGACGCTTTTGCACTTATTGCCATGTTTTAAACAAAGCTATGGTTATATAGCCATAAAATTTCTCCTCTTGACTTAAAAACCCTAATTTTTGAGAAAAATGGATTTTTCTTTTTAATATTCCTTTGTTCTTGATTTCCAAACTCTAGGGCTTTGTTTTGATCAACAAAATAGTATTTTGTGATGATCTCTTGCATATTTTCTTAAATTGTTCTATTGGAGAAGATACCTATGGAAATTTTGGGGTTTTTGATGTACGTGTAATTTGCGAAAATAATTATTTTTGCATCTCTTGTATGGTTGTTATGATGGACTTGAATTGCATTCGAGCATTGTCGTAGAGTGTTAGAGGTTAGTCTTTCCCAGCGGGGGGTGAGATGGTTGCCTAACACTTATAGTGGATTATTGTTTATGAGAACAACCACTATTATTCACGTAAGTTCTAGGCTGAGGGATGGTATGCATTTTCTGGGAAGGATTCGTCAACGCCGTGGGAGACGATATACGCCCTTCCTAAAATGTTTGGGATTGCGTGATTGTGATGGGTGACCGAGGTAAAAGTCGTGTAGATTCATGAGAAACAACCAACATACATGAGAATATGAGATGAGGCTATTGTATAATTTATTGTTTTTCTTTAATCCTGACATGTTTATTCCTTTCATTTAAATTATTGCTCTTGCTTAAACTTGAGATCCATTGAAATGTCTTTATTTTCTTTTAAAATTATGTATGATATTTTGCAAAGTGAGACCGAACTGTTTTTATGTTTTTCAAACCTTGTTTGAGTTTGGGAGGATGTTGCTACAAAGCTTAGTGCTCACCCCCTACAAACAACATATTTTCAGATTATGCGCTAGAGGAGGAGCTCAGAGTAGATGAACAGGCACATTGGGAAGCTCCAATAGATGAGAACGTGGATCCCGAGATAGACGTTTAGACTTATATTCTCTTTTGTCCTAGGTTCTAGACTAGGGAATTTATTTTGAGACAATGTAAAGGCTACCGTATTTTGTTATTCCGCTGCAAGATTAAACTTGATTCTTTTGAGATGTAATTGTCATAGGTTGATATATTATTTTGGGATGTAGATGCCATAGTTCGGCATATTCTTTTGGATAACGTTGTAGATATTATAAATGATGAATGAAATTATCTAAATTATGGATATTATTAGTTGCTCTCGTATTGTGAATGATTTTTAGATTGTAATGTCGTCCAAGGTGGGTTTTGGGGTGTTACAAGGGGAGTTGCCAAGGCAGCGTAAAAAGAAAGTCCGAACAAGGAGTGGGGGATCTGGTATTGCGCAAAGTTGTAGCCAATACTCAAGAACCCATCGGTAGGAAGCTCGGCCCCATTTGGGAGGGTCCATACAAAGTCATTTCCATAGGAGGCATAGGGACGTATTGAATACAAGACATGGATGGAAAAGATGTAAATTGACCCTGGAATGTATCAAATTTGAAGAAATATTACTACTGAGTTAATTCCAAGAGCCAAGTTAAGAGATCAACACGAGCCTCGGGCTCGGCCGTTAGGGGTAAGGCTCTGAGAGGGGTAAGCCTCCATCCTTGGAGCACCATCCTGAAAAAGATCAACACGAGCCTCGGGCTCGGTCGTTAGGGTTAAGGCTCCGAGAGGGGTAAGCCTTCATCCTTGGAGCACTGCTCTGAAAAAGATTAACACGAGCCTTGGGCTCGGTTAGTAGAGGTAAGGCCCCGAGAGAGGTAAACCTCCGCCCTTGGAGCAGTGCTCTCGAAAAGATTAACAAGCCTTGAGCTTAGTTGATTAGGGGTAAGTCTCCATATTTGTGTGCTTTCAAAAAAATTGAGATGAACCTCGAGGTTCGGGCACCATTTGTGTATTATTTACTAGAATAAAAAACAAGACACAACACCACAAAGAAAGGAAATAAATTGCATTATTAAAAGGAAGGCCATGCATCCTCCAGGCATACAAAAGAAACAAAGTACAAGTTTTTATAATGGTCCTCGAGTCCAACAGGCTCGTCAAGGCCACCTCCAAGCTCCTCACCCCCGAGCTCGGACTGGTGCCTTTTCAGAGACCTTTCGTCGACACCAAGGATCTCATTAAGTTCCCCAAACTTGGCCCCACCTAGATGGATGATGGGGATTCCGAGGATGGAGGGATCTGCAGTATGCATGGGGGGAGTTGGAGAAGGAAGTCGAAGGGGAGACATTCCCTCTGATTCATCACTAATAGTGATTGGCACTATCTCTGTCATTGTCTCCCCTATTTCTTCAATTGGCCCTTCCGGTGAAGCCACCTCAGCACTCGGCTGGACATCAGTGGGGGCCGTGGATTCAATAACTTCTTGCAAATTATGCATTACAAAGAGCTCGGAGTCGGCAGCGATCTCGCAAGCTCGAAGCGCCTCATCCCAACCTTGCTTGAAAGCCTTCCTTTTTTCATCATCGAAGGCTGGGATGAACTGCTTCTAGCACTGCTTGTACACGTCCATGTAGACTGTGTTCAACCTCTCAGATTTATCTTCCTCCAATGCCTCCACCTTTGAGGTCAGGGCCACATAGTTGGCCTCGGCAGTGGAAAATTTTTGCTTGGTCTTCTCCATTCTCCTTGCCGCCTCGGTCTTGGCTTGCTTGCTCTTGTCTAACTTGAAGGTGAGGGCTTCGGCTTTGTGGATTAGGTCGACGATGCTTCTAATTAGCACAAAACATTGCATATTTTTATGTGCTAATCATCCTAGTTTAATTGCTTTTGGGGATTAAATGATTGGAGTCATATCTATTCAGTTATTAATGAAAGTATTTGGTGTTTGCAGTTAAAAAGGTGCTAAATAAGGTTTTAAGGCCTTCCCAAATGTATTGAGATGATTGGGGATGAAAGAATGGCTAGAGGAAAGCTCTGGAGTGCAGAAATTAGAAAAATTAGACAAGGCAGCAAAAACGTACCAGTACGCTCTGTCGTTCTGCCCCATTCTCTGCAACTCAGGTCTGCTATTTTAAGGGTCCCACCAACAGATCTCCCATGCTCCCCTGACACGCCCACAACACTATTTATCCCTTTCACACTCCTCTTTGGACTTTTGGAGCATGGTGATTAATGAGGAGAGAGAAGAGAAGAGAAGCTGGGTGTGCAGACAAGCTCTGCAACCCCCCTGTCCAGCCCATTCCTCCCGCACCCCTATGGATGGAGGTCACTTCTGGAGGCTAGGGGATCTCTCCAAGCACGTTTTTTTTGGCAAGGAAGCACTCCATTGTATTGTATTGCATGTAATAGAAGATATATAGAGAGAAGGTCTGGGTAGAAGATGATGAATAGTGTTCTAGTAAGAGAAAATTGAGTTTTTTGTATTTCTTTCAATACATTGTCTTGTAACCTCTGGTATGAAGCTTTAAAACTTCATTTAATGTCATTAATGTTGTTCTCCTTCAAGTTTAATGCTCTTTTAAAGCTTTCACCATTAATGCATCAAAGTTCTTCATTTTCTTAGTTTTCAAATCGGTATTCAATATACTCTCTTATAGCTTATGTTTTCTTGCATCTAGTTACTCTAGAACTTCATATCTTTGCAATGCATTCTCGTTACATTGTCAATTTTATTTTAAGCATGAGTAGCTAAATCTTTTAGTTGGCAAAACCAAGGGTAACCTCCACTTGGGTATACCATTTCAACTCATTCTCCTCCATTCTTTCAGAGTTCAATGGTTCGGTTTGATTGGGTTGAGGGTGGATGAGTTGGTGAGTCTTTGATATTCCGTAGGCCTATTCACGGCTTATGCTTAGATACTCACCAATCTTATCCCTAGCTTGCCACGAATCAATCGTTCATTCATACTCTATTGGAGGAGGGTTTCGAGTTGAGACGGTATTCCTATTGGAGTGACCTCTTGGATTTGTCAACATTTGTTTCTCATTTTATTAGCATCAAAACAAACTTCACCAAACAACTTCCAACAACCAAAGATTTTATACTTTCTTTTTCCCAAAATCACCTTCCCCTCGGTTTACCTCCTTCCCCATGGAAACGACCTTGGAATACCACCAAGTAAAACATGACCCGCAAAAGCCTCCTTGCGCTTGGGGAGCACTTTTGTACACACACACACATTTGTTGTGCATTTACACATCACATTACCATTATTTCATTTTTTCCCATCTCCTTGCCCTTTTTTTTGACATCACCCATAGGAGAGTAACACTCCCCTTCATCCATATACTATACATGCTAAAAGGTGATGTTTAGAGGTTAGAAAACTACAAGAAAATTTGTCAAGCAGCTTTTACACTGATCGACAATCGTCCTCTCCACTTGGCCAATATGGACCCCTATTTGTTAGGAAGCCTAAAACGAGAAAGTGAATATCAAGATGTGGTTATAGCAGTGAATTATCAAAGACAGAAAAAGAGTGGGTGCTTACCACCAGGTTATGTTGAACCACTCCTTAGAGGTGTCGATTGTCTCCATAATCATCCAAAATCTCCATATAGCCGTTGAAATGCAGAGTTCTACTGACAGCCAAGGCCATGTCAGGGGAGTGGATGATGGAGTCAGTCTCTAGGATAGTCTGCCCCTTTCTGGTAATGGCTCAGTGGGACCATTGGACTGGGCCAACAGGTGCTGGGGTGTCTTGGCATTGCTTGACTCGGCGATCGATGTTTAGGTAGGCCTCTTGACCACGACGCTGCTGCTGCCATTGCCGGTTGTCACTTCATTTTGAGGGCTCATCTGGGAGCCTTCGGCGCTGATGTTGAACTCTTGGGGGGACTTGTTGTTGTTGTTGTTGTTGTTGTTGCTGTTGCTGCTGCTGTTGATGCTGTTATCAAGGATCTTGTTGGAGCAAAGGAACATGCAGTAGCACGTTGATAAGAGCTATGCTAGACAGCTCATCAGGCCTCGATAGCAGGGCCCTGTTGGCTGCTGAGGCGACCTCTAGGATTTCTGCAGTGATGGGGGAATGCAAAACATCTCAGCAATGGGTGAATGTGTTGGAGTAGACTCAGAGTAACGGTTGGGGTCTTTTTCAAGGTTCTCCTCTTCATCCTCTTCTTTCTTAGAGAAATGGTCCACCCAGATGGAAAGATTGAAGGGTGAGGGAATCTAAGAGAATTTGGTGTAGCCAGGCCGGTAGCCGAGAAATACGTGCGCTGCCTGAGCAAAGGGATCGCAAGGGTTGTGAGACCAAACCTTGATTAGGTCTTCGAAGGCAACTTTTGCTTTCAAAGGTTGGGCGGCGTCCCTTTTGTATCCCTCTACAAAGGAAAAACACAAGGTTAGAAACAAAAATAATGATTGAGGGGGTGGTGATATTGGTGAAAGTCCCACCTTGTAAAGCCCGGATAAATTTGAATTTTTATGAAAAATAGCAAAATAATAATTTGTCACTATGGTAAGGATTAAAAATTTGAATTTTTCTAGAACTTGGATGACAAAACGGACCTCACCGTTGGATTCACCTCGTGAAGTCTAGTTACCCAGTCAATTTTCGTCGAATTCTGAAATAGATAGATTTTTTACGTTTTACGATGCGATCGAGTGTCACGTGACCTAAAAATGAGGTATGGAATAAATTTTCTGAAGTCAAAAATAATTTAAAGAAATTTTATATTAAAATATTTTGAACTTGAACTGGGACAAAATTTAATCATTTTTTGATGAAATCGGACCAGGGAATGAAGGACGTGTGGCGCAACGAGGGCCAAACATTCCAAGGGTATAAATAAGGGAGAAAATCAGTTTTTCTCCCCATTCTTTCTACTGGGTTTTCATTGGAGAACGGAGGAAAAGGAAAAGAGAGAGTTCAAGACTTATCTCTACGATCTACGGAGTTCCTTTGGTTAGAATCCTTCGGGCCAAGTATTAAAGGAGATCTACACGACGAGGGTTACACCTATGTACCAAAAAGGATGGATTTCACCGAAGATTCAAAAATAAAATTTTGAAAAAATCAATGTTTGAGCTTGGGTGGTGTTCTTGAAGGTTTCTACAACTCGTTTTACGCCTCAAGAGGTAGGTTTTTCATCATAACTAGGTTTATTTCTAACTTAGGTTTGAAATATGAAATTGGTAGGGTGTTAGAGATAAAATCTCATGTATAGCACTTACCTATGGTATTTGAAATGTGAAAAATGGATATAGAAATGGATAAAATCAATTCTAACTTGAATTGGGTATGTAGAAATTACTTAATGTGATTTCTTAAGTTATGTGATGAATTTGGGCATTTTATGTGATTACATGATTTGGTGCCTTGAAGGTGTTTGATTAAATGCCTATATGGATTAAGTGTGTTAATTACATTGAATATGTTATAACTTGCTTGGAAATTGATGTTGGAGAAATGTTGGTATATGTATGTGATATATTGACATTGAAGCTATAGATGGTGGTTATATGCTCAGGGTATAATTTACCATGGAAAATGTTGATTGGATATTGGAATCATTCATATTGTGCTTATGACATGTTAAACATGGTGTTGTTATTGCAATTTGAAATCTTGGTTGCATAAGTATATAAAATGCAATTGTACATATACATTTGTATAAGCACGGGAAACATCGCATTCGTGGGCATTACATGAGTGTGGGTGTGTGCATATTTTTGGATCAAACACCATTCTTGGTGGTTGATAAGTGGGCTCAGTACAATTGGACCAAGGTCTAACAGAGTCACACAGTTGTATGAAAAACTTGTGTCGCATATAGCAAGAAGGCTAGACACTCCATCGGGTGTAAGACCCGGTTACTGGTTTATACACTTTCATAGGTGAAAGTCCAAAAAAGTGTATCGGTGTGTGGAATCGGCGGTGAGACACCAAAATTCTGCTACCCAACAAAGACACATGGTTTATTTTGAGAAAAAAAGCAATTGGATGTACAACATCAATGGTAAGGACTTGGAATGCCCGATTTTACACTCATGTCATTACATGGGTGGTGGGAGTTGGTAAAGGCTCGAGTTGAGTTGGATGTGTGAGTCTCATCTCATAACATGACATGACATAAAGGATCTATCATTGAATTGCATATTCTTGAATGGATGATTGTTGCTTGTTGAATTTTCATGTGAACATTTCATATGCATCTAGGTTGGGGAGTAACCTCTTTGGGAGATACCCTATTGAGCGTGGCTCACCCTTTATGGGGACAACATTTCAGGTGCAGGATATGCGCCGGTGGACGACTCTTCCTAGGGCTTTCATTGATGAAGAAGAGCCGAAATTTGGCTTTAAATCATATTTTTGTAAAACTAAGATGTTATCTAGTTTTTGGGACATTAATTATATGTATAGGATTGTATCGAACTCGTATGAACTGTATTTTGTTTAAAATGTCATGTTATATGAGTTGGGTTGGTGTTGTATAAGGTTGGAATGAATTGGAATTGAAAAATGATGGAAACGGGTGAAAACTGGAAAGACCTACCAGTAGAATGACGAGCTCTTCTACTGGTAGAACTTGTCCAGTAGGTTAAACCTACCGATAGAACTTCAAGTTTTGCGGTAGAACTTTTCCAGTGGGCTAAACCTACCGGTATAACTTTTTCAGTAGTCTTTTCTATCTATAAGTCTTGCACATCTTCTACTGGTATGTTTTGTTAAAATCTCAATTATTGAAATGTTTTGCTAGGCTTATGGGTCTTGGGTTCTTTTGTTCAAATGATATAAATGGACATTAAATGAGGATAAATTGTTTTATATAGGACCTCGGATGGGTCATGTGATCGAAGTGCACACAGGTTGTGCGTTTGGGAGTGCCTGGTACAAGAGAGACTCTGCTCAAATTTTGTGTTTTTGTGATCCCAATAAAGGGGATGTTGAGCCGTGGTGTCGGGTTATATGACATTTACGGGTATTTTCACAGGTTGATGGGTGATTAATGGGTTGACAAAGGACCCCCGATTTTAGGGGTGTCACACACCAGGATCCCTTGGTATCTTGGGTCAGAAGAGGCCATCATACTTGGATCTTTCACCCATCTCCCATCTACCGCCGAGCATGATGAGATCCCAGGTGTACCTTTTGTCCAAGTTAGGCATGTGTGTCACCAAGAACATGGAGGGGTCCCGGGCCTGTAAGTAGTATATATCGCCGTTGACTAACTTCAAGTCATAGCATAACAAGATTTCATCTACCCCAAGGTTCACTCCCAGCTAAGCGTTTAGGGTAATCACTTCTATGACTATCCTAAAAAGACTAATGCAACACTAGAGGGGAAGAACATCAGTTGCATGAGAACTCTCAAGATAAAGGGAGGTAGAGGAAATCTAACTCCCCCTCCATGATGACCTTAGTGTGAAAGGGCATTAGTTCCACACTGCCCACATCAACCCTATGAAATGTGGGATCGAACACAAAGGTGAAGACAAGCTTGGGTATGTTGTAAGTGGCTCTAAAAGCCTATAGATTGGCATCAGTCACCTGGGTTCTCCTCAACCTACCTGTATCACTAGACCTAACTGGTTCCTTTACGACTCTAGTTCTTCGTATGCTGGCCATTGGGGATTTTTATAGAAAAGTAGAAGAGAATAGGGAAGATTAAGGAGCGAGTATAAGCAGGGAAGTACTTATAGATTCAGTGGCTTTGAAGGACTTGCTCGGGGGAAGAGTGAATGGCTGCAAGGGAGTTAAGTACAGGTTAAGAGTTCGAAGATCCAAGGTGTCTCGAATGAACCTAGGACTCCCCTATTTATACTTACTGCAACGTGGGCGGGAATCGGAGAGGCAAGCTATCAAGTACAAATTTGAAAATCTGGTAATCGCCCCTAAAATGCAGGCATGCTGAGGGAGCCTCCACTCTCCATGTGCCACCTGTCCCATGAGGCGAGAAAAATGGAGGCTGGGGGCAGTTGACAGGACTTTAGGTTCATTAATTGGGTTTTGAGTGACTATGATAGGGTTATTAATGAGCATCTGTGTCCTCGAGAAATGTGAAGACAATCATTATTATAAGGTATTAAGTGTCATAACACCGACTTGACGTCCTCGACAAACCCCGATGATGCTTATTCCCGAATAGTGAACGCTATAGCGTAGGTGTGAAGCACCGAGGTGAGATATTTAATGATCGGGGATTGGGCCATAAAGGCTCAACTGATGCCGAGCAAGGGTCTACTCGTCTGAGGGGGTTAGTCTTTAGGAGATTTGACGGGATAACACTCATTATGCTTGGATATGAGTGCAGGCCATTAAGTTCTGAGATGGGACTCAAAGACCCCGCCATCATTACAAACTCAGGTATAAATACACTCTGTTCATGACTCTCATGCCGACTGACTTGAGCTTCAAAGGGGATTAGTTGGGTACACACCCGACCCCTTTTTCCTAATCCTTTGTTTCAAGTTCAATGCTACTCAGGATTGTTCCACGTATTGTTATTTTAACTCATTGCAGGAAATCATTCGTGCACTAACACCTAACCTGGTTTTCAACATGCTCGACGAATTGTTCAAGTGAAAGAAATTGACTCCACCATAGTCGGCTTTACAGTACATCACTTTCATTTTTTCTTTGTTTTTTGGGCAGTAATTGATGTTGCTTCAATTTTTTTTTGGTGGTTATAATTCTGCTTATGTATTTTTGATTTATAGATTTGTCAAACAAAAAAAATCATTTATTTTTGTTGATTATTTTGGAGCATAAATACATTTATTTTGTTTTGATGTTCAGGTGTATTTTTTGTTTGACAAAACTCTGATTAATCAACAAAGCATTGTTTAGAAGCATAAAGAATTTCCTTTTTTTGTGGTGTTCAGGCGTATTTTGGGTTTGACAAAAATCTGGTTAATCAACAAAACACGATTTTTTATTGGATTGGAAGGTGAATCTTCAAGTAGTTTGCAGTTGATAGAAGAAAATATTGTGA